CAACAACAACAACAACAGCAGCAACAGCAACAACAACAACAACAACAACAACAACAACACCAACAACAACAACAACAACAACAACAACAACAACAACAACAACAACAACACCAAAACAACAACAACAACAACAACAACAACCACAACAGCAACAACAACAACAACAACAACAACCTACGTCTTGATTGTTTCTATGCGTTGGATCCCTCGGGCTCTCGCCCTGGAGATCAGGGCTCGAGGCTGGTTCGGCGCCCGGGCCCTCCGCGGGCCTCTCCGGCCACGGGGCGGCTACCAGGAGCCCGCGGGGGCCACGCCCCCGGCCCGCCGCCGCCGCGAAGCGTTCACGACGAAGGCCCCGCCCGAGCGGCTCTTCGGACGAAAAGCCTGTCGCAGGCCTACGCGTCGGTCATTTCTGATCGTGCTCACCTCTAACTGTGCTCGCTTCTAGCGGTTCCTGGCCCCCTGGTGGCCAGGAAGAGGCCAGGATGGGACCATCAGAAATGGAAGGATCCTGGCCCCCATAAAAAAAACGAAGAACTTTCGAAGAGGTAGAAATTAACGATGTGCAGAGGTTGACACCAACAACAATAGCGGCGGCGTGCTTCCACCCAGGGGGGAAGATCCCGATCTGGGTGGTGGTGTTAATGCTCTGGCTTCCAAGGTGGCCGAAGTACTACCGCCAACGCCGAAGTCTAGGATCGTGTTCCCCCTTGTGGAGGCAACCCCCTGTGTTGGTGTTGGTGCCAATGCCCAGGCCTCCAAACTGACTGCCTGGCAGACCACCCCCAGCCTGACTCGAAGACCCCCGCTTCGGGTGGGGGGGGAGGGGCACGGGTTCCGCAGGTGCCTCTTTGCCGATACTCCCCGACCACGCCCCCCCCACCCCACTGGACATCGAGGGCAGGTCTGGGCCTTCGGGTTGGGTTGGGGTTGTCGGGTGGTGGGTAGCGCAGAACTCGAGCAATGGATCGACTACAAGATATGATTGACCCCAAAAATAATGTCTTCGTGACACCTACGGAAAAATGCTCCGAATACCCACCAGAGTTGCGAGAACTCGACACGCACTCGTCGCAGATCCGAGGGGGAAAAGCAACCCTGGGGCAGATCAACTCTGCAGACCATCCCCTGCTCGAAGAGCAGCAGACTTTCTGGAGGAGAAGGAGGAGGAGGAGAAACGGAGGAGGAGGAGGAGGAGGATGAGGAGGAGGAGGAGGAGGGAGGAGGAGGAGGAGGAGGAGGAGGAGGAGGAGGAGGAGGAGGAGGAGGAGGAGGAGGAGGAGGAGCAGCGTCGGGTCATCGAAGAGAGAGCCCCGACTTAGCGTCGACCAGCGTCGATCTGGCGTCGATTGGCGCCGGCTCGCGTCGACGAGCGTCGGCCAGCGGCGGTCAGCGTCGATTCGCAAGAGCCACCAAGAGGGCACGGGGAGCCTCCCATGAATTACCAATGAACCCCCCCCCCTTTTAGCGCCACAGGGCGCGCGGCGCGCCGACCGGTCATCGCCGGGGGGTCAGGCGCAGGCAAAGCCGGGGCGGCAGGGGCAGCAGTGAATCGGGGGCTGCGAGAGGTGCCCCTGGCCCAAGGTGCCCCCAGCTTGCCGCGTCATCCTGGAGCTCCTGGGGCCCCGACGGGCACTCTGCGAGGCCGCTGGGGGCCTCTCTGGGGATCCTGGAGACACCTTTGTCCAGGGACCTAGAGATCCGACGTCTCGCCTCCCCTCCCACACGGGGCCCACACAAATCTCGACCCACTCCCGATGACCCGCCTCTCGTCCTGGGTCGTCTCCTCGTGGGCGGCCCCCGGGCCCCGCGGGGGCCCCGCAGGGAGGCCGCAGCCGGCGCACGGCCGCCGCCCTGAAGCTTCTCTGCGCGCTGGAGCTCCGGGGGCGCCTCGGGCCAGGGGGGGGCACCTCTGGCAGCACCCGAGGCGGGGGCGGCACAAGGGAGAGCGGCTGGGCCCCGCGGCGTGCGCGAGGGGGCCAGGGCGGCGGGCGCGGCGCCCCCGGCAGGGATCGGAGGCCTCTGCGGTCAGGAGCTTGCTCTCCTCCCGCCTCCCTCCCCCTCCGTCCCCCTCCCACCTCCCTCCTCCCTCCTCCCTCCTCCTCCCTCCTCCTCAATCCTCCGCCTCCTCCCTCCTCCTTCCTCCTCCTCCTCTCCTCCTTCCTCTTCTAATAGTCTCAGTTCTCTCTACTCTTGATCACCTCCCCTCTCCTCCTCCGTAACCTCCTCCTTTCCTCTTATCCTCCTATCCTCACCCCTTCTCTTTACCCCGCCGTCCTCTCTTTCCTGTCTATCATCCCTTCCCTCTCGCTGCCTACCTCCTCCTCCTCCTCTCCTTCTCCACTCCTTTCTCCTTTCCCTTCCCTCCCTGCCCTCCCTCCTCCCTCCTCTCTCCCTCCCCTCCCTCCCTTCCTCCCTCCTCCCTCCTCCCTCCCTCCCTCCCTCCCTCCCCTCCCTCCCTCCCTCCTCCCTCCCTCCTCCCCCTCCTCCTCCTCCTCCTCCTCCTCCTCCTCCTCCTCCTCCTCCTCCTTCAGAACCGCCAGCGCGGCACTCTAGACCAAAGTTCCTGACCGTAAGAAGACCCCTTAGAAGGCAGGAGGGCTTTCGACAGGCCCCCCGCCTGCTTGGACGGCCGCCCCCCTCACGCCGCCCCCTTCTGCGCGCCGCGGACGGGGGGCGGCGTGGCGCCTCACCTCATCTGCAGGGCGCCGCTGACGAGCCGCTTGCGGTAGACAGTCTTGAGGCCAGGGTAGGCGGGGGCGTGCTTCACCTCCTCGATGCTTTGGACCGACCTGTCCAGGAACACCATGTTCTCGTCGATCTCGAGCTGCCTCTTGATGATCCGGCGGGCGCTAAGGAACTGGTTCTCGTCTGGGCGGCGTTTCGCGCCAGGGAGCCGGTTCAGCGTGGTCCTGGTGCCCGCCGCGCTGATCTGCTCGGTCTGCACCAGCAGCTCGCTGCCCTCCTTTCTCGAGATGAGCAGCACTACGATGTCCACAACACGCAGAACGTTGCCAGAGGAGTCCTCCGTCAGCGTGGACTCCCCCTTGATAAGCTCTGCGGAGAACTCCTTCAAAGTCTTCGTGTCGGGGCCACCGAACTTGCTGACATCGACGCCGCAGTTGGTGAGGTGCCTGCGAAGTGCCTCCTCGTTGAGGCCGATGGGCGCCCGCACCAGCGTCGAAACCTCCTGGGTCTTCGGCTGAAGCTTGATCTGCTTCTCCTCACACTGCTTGCTGGTCATCCAGTTAAAGATCTTGGTGTTACCCTTAGCATCAGTGGCATCCCAGGAGCCGAAGGAGGGCAGCCCGACCGTGGCAAGGGCGGCCGCGTCCGTCATGGAGAATACGCCCTCCACCAGCTCCTTGCGGTAGACTGACGTGACGCCTGGATAAGAAATAGACTCGATCTCCTCCTCCACCCGTTCGATCCTATTCAGATCAAGCGTTATGCCCTTCGGATCGAGTTTGAGGAACTCCTTTAAGATCCTCTCTGAGACCTGCCGCGTGTTCTCATAGGGCTCCTTCTTTGTGCCTGGCAACCGGTTGGTGACCCGTTTGCGGCCGTCTTCGAACTGCTCTTCCGTCTCGATAAGGATGCGTTCGCCGCTTGCGTCTTTAAGAATGAGAACCTGAGCATCGTTGAACCGATCCCCATCCCCACTGGCATGGCCTCGGCCCCAGTGGCCGACCTATCCCCCTAGATGGGGATGCAGCATGTTCCCTCCGGGTTTCCAGGGGCCTATACCGAATCAGGGGGGTGGGATGGTGGGGATGAGATACCATGGGACAGTGGAAATGGGGATCGGTTAAACTAGGCTGCGAACCACGAGGTCGCAAACGCGCACCAGCTTCTTGTGCTCAGTGGCGTCGAGCATGAGCCGCGCGGCCCCGCCGTCGACCTCCGCCACCAGCTCGGGCAGGGTCTTTGCCTTGCCCGTTCCGAAGGCGCTGGTCTTGATGTTGTGATCCTCCAGCATCTGGGAGAACATCTTGTGATCGGTGCCGCTCTCTTTCAGCAGCGACTCGGAAGGCGCCTTGCCCTCGGTGTCGGAGACGTTGCTGGCCTTCTGCCTCGCCTTGTCGAACCACTCGTAGACCATGCGGTTGTTCGCCTTGTCCTTGAGGGTGAACTTGCTGCCCTCGGCGTGACTCGACTGCTTCTCCCTGCCCTGGCTCGAGGTCCCCTTCTTGCCGCCGAGGATGTCGTGCTCCTTGTTGAGCCGGTTGATCAACTCCTGCCTCCTCTCCTTGATGCCGTCGTTCGCGTCCTCGACTCTCATGTCCTGGGTCGGGCCCTCGTCGTCCCCCGCATCGACGGCCGCCCTGCTCGAGCTCGAGCGCTTGCCGTTGCCCGGGTCGACCCAGCCGTGCGCCATCACCTGGTCCGCGGAGAGACGGGCCGCCTCCTCTTGGGACGCACAAAGACATACTAGTACTATATGTTTCCCTTGGATGCGCGCGTCCGACCCGAGCATATAGTGTACCCATCGTGTAGTAGATCGTTTCCCGAACGGTGCGGTCAGAAAGACCCCACCACGAAGCATATACTATAAGATTTCTCGGTGCGCGCGTCGCCCCTGGGGGGGCGACGCACATATAGTAAAGTATGTTGGGGTGTCGCCGATCCTTCTTCTCGAGTATCTTCTTGATGAAGTCCTCGCAGAGCTGGTGGACCCGCTTTGGGATCTTCAGCTCCTTCGCGCGGATGTCGGCCTCGTCCCTGAAGGGGAAGCGGCCGCTCACCAAGCCGTACATGATGACGCCCATGGCCCACACGTCGACCTTCATGCCGTAGTTCTTGTCGAAGAACTCTGGCGCCCAGAAGATCTTGGTGCCGACGGCGGCGCTGAGCCGCTCGTCGGCGGTCACGTTGCAGGCGGTGCCGAAGTCGGTGAGCACCACCTTGCAGTCTGGGTCCGTCATGTCTCTTCGGTCCATGAGATAATTGTCGCCCTTGATGTTCAGAGGAGTAAGAGGGACCGCCGCCACAGAGAACCCATCGAGTGGGGACCGACCCCTGGGTCATGGCACGTCTGAGCGTCCTCGTGCACTGGGTTACGCTGGAGGAGGAGAAGGAGGATGAGGAAGAGGAGGAGGAGGAGGAGGAGGAGGAGGAGGAGGAGGAAAGAGGAGGGGGGAGGAGGAGGAGGAGGAGGAGGGAGGGGAGGAGGGAGGGAGGAGGGGAGGAGAGGAGAGGAGGAGGAGGAGGAGGAGGAGGAGGGGGAGGGGAGGAGGAGGAGGAGGAGGAGGGAGGAGGAGGAGGAGGGGGGGGAGGAGGAGGGGAGGAGGCGGAGGAGGAGGAGGAGGAGGAGGAGGGGAGGGGAGGAGGATGAGGAGGAGGAGGGGAGGAGGGGGAGAAGGGAACGAGGAGAGGAGGAGGGCGGAAGAAGGAGGAGGAGGATGAGGGGGGGGAGGGGGAGGAGGCGGAGGAGGAGGAGGAGGAGGAGGAGGAGGAGGAGGAGGGAGGAGGGGAGGAGGAGGAGGAGGAGGAGGAGGAGGGGGAAGGGGAGGAGGAGGAGGAGGAGGAGGGGGAGGAGGAGGAGGAGGGAGGAGGAGGAGGAGGAGGAGGAGGAGGAGGGAGGGAGGAGGAGGGGAGGAGGAGGAGGAGGAGGAGGAGGGGGAGGAGGGGGCTGATGAGGAGGAGGCGGAGGAGGAGGCGGACGGGGCGGGCTGCCGGGCCCCACCCCGGCGAGCCCCAGTGGGCTTTCGGTGGCGGTGGGCCCCGTGCCTCCTCCGAGCTGTCGCGGTGGACGGTCAGCTTGCTGTGCAGGTACTGGACGCTGGCGCCCATCTGCCGCGACACGTGCACGACGTGGTGGCAGTTGATCTGGCCTGGGGGGCAGCGACAGGGGGGGGAACTGGCATACAGTAGGGGCTCGACCACAAGAAACCTTTCACAAGAAACCCAACCACGAGACCCCAGGACGTCCATTGATTTTTTGGTGTGGGCACGTCACGCTTTCCATGGACAACCATCGAAGCCCAAGAAACCCAGGGCACCCTGGAGGCAAGCAGGGTGTTTCTTGGCATGAGCCCCCACTGTAGGGGGGGGGGGATGCATCGACCTGGGATCGGCGATGCGTCGCCGACGGATCGGCGAACCGGGCCCCTGCAGTGAGTGAATCCGCACCTTCTCCTGGGCAGGTTGGGGCCATCGGGCCACTGTCGGCGATCGACGTGAAGGTGGACGTCGATGCATCCCCCCTATGCCCATCCTCTCCCGTCGTTGCCCCTGATGGCCCCGCTCTTTCAGGTGCTTCTGCAGGCCCTCTACGAGGTCCCCGCCGCTGTACTTGTCCATGACGATACAGACGAAACACCTCTCGTAGTAGACGCCGTGGACTTTCACTATGTTTTGGTGGTTCAGGCTCTCGAGCATGGCCGCCTCCTTTTTGATCTGGTCCACCGGCGTCTCAACCTTGTCGACCATCTTCACTGCGTACTCGACCCCGGTTGTGCGGTGTTTGCAGTTGGAGACGACGCCGAATGCACCCTCCCCCAACGTCTGCCCGACCGAATACTCCTCGGCTACGCGTCAGGGTGGCCCTAGGCAAGGGTGACCTTTGGTGCGCGGCATGGGGGGGGGGCCCAAATCCAGGCGCGCAAGCCGCTGCTATCGCATCGCATTCAATGGTCGGGAAACCCCAATGGGCCCGCACCAAAGGTCACTCCGGCGAAGGGTCACTCTTAGTGAACGTTTTCTTATTCGGCGGTTCGAAATTGGGGGGAGGGGAGGGGAGGGAGGGGTCTGGCTTCGGACCTCTGCTCAGCGCGACTGTTTGCAGCAGTGCGTCCGATGGGGGAAAGGCTCCACCTGCTCGAGACGGGCGCCAAAAACAGCCAAGACCTACTCCATAGGGGGGGGAGAGGGTGCGAGGGCCCGCGCCGATTGGCAAAACAGTGAATAAGAAAACGATCTCTTGCGTATATAGAAAAAGCAAAACCGCCATAAACATAAACTGTTGGCGCTCCGCTCGGATTTCTTCGATCTGCGCTGGACCCCCCCCCCTGCGCGCGGAGCGCGCCAGGGGCGGCGCTGGGGGCACCGCTGGGGGAGGGGGTCCAGCGCGGATCCAAGAAACCCGCGCGGAGCGCCAAAAGCTCATGTTTGTGGCGCTTTCGCTTCCTCGCCTTGCCTGCCGCCGAAGTCCTCGAGAAGCCGCAGCTCCCCCGGCTTCCCTGCCTTGCCTCCCTCCGAGCCCTGGGTCGGCTTGGCGGGCCCCGCGCCCCCCGGTTTGGCCGAGGCGCAGCCCATGGCTGGGGCCGGGGGGCGGCGCGGGCCAAGCGCAGCGGCCACCCACAAGCTCGAGCCCCTTTGTGGCTGCGGCTCGCAAGGCTCATGCGCCCCTGCTTCGGGTTGTCCAGGGGACCAGCGTGTTGAACAAAAATCAAGACGGAGGTTTTCCTCAACTCTCGGCCTCTGGGGGCCCTCGCCGGGCCCCAGGACCGTCAAAGAACGACTCAGGATGAAAAACCGGTGCTGGCGAATAGGCCGAGACTGCAAGGACCCCGTATCGAAAAAAATATGTCATCCGATCGCTGGGTAAGATAATGGTACGCCAAGAAATAGTACTTCACTCGAAGACCTCTCCTAAGCCACCCTCCAGGTCCGCATGCGCGGAAGCTCCAGGAGAAGAAAGGACTCCAAGGAAGCGCCCGGTGCCCCGCCCAGACTCTTGGTCCTCTTGAACGACATATGTTAGTTGTCCTTGTTTGGCAGCGCCACGAACGGTTAGGGCAAAAGAACGGTTCGGCGATCAGCGGGCCAATCGCGTGCGACTCTTCCACCTCGTGCTTGAAGCTGGCCCCGCTTCGGGCGCCGCCTGGGACTCCCTGTCCGGTCGACGCAGGAGGAGGAGAGAGGAGAAGGAGGAGGAGGAGAGGAGGAGGAGGAGGAGAAGGAGAAGGAGGAGGAGGAGGAGGAGGAGGAGGAGGATGAGGAGGGGGAGGAGGGCGGAGAGGAGATGGAGGAGGCGGGGAGAGGAGATGAGGAGGAGGAGGAGGAAGGAGGAGGAGGAGGAGGAGGAAGGAGGAGGAGAAGGAGTGGAGGAGGGAGGAGTAGGAGGAGGAGATAAGGAGGAAGGATGGCGGAGGAGGAGGGAGAGGAGGCGGAGGGAAGGAGGAGGAGGAGGAGAAGGAGGAGGAGGAGGAGGGAGGAGGAGGGGGAGAAGAGAGGGGAGAGGACAAGCTAGGTGCGCTCGCGTCATATCTGACATCCTACCCCTCCCTCCCATCCCTTACCATGGCGTAGATCCCCTCTCTACTCGCACAGTTGGATGCCGGGCAGGGCAATGATCCCGAAAGGTCGTGATGCATTGTGCAGCACGGCATGGCATGGCGTAGAAGAGCACCGCAAAGCGTAGTATGTCACAGCATGGCGTGGCGTGGCGTAGTGAAGAATTGCATCACAAAGCTTTACAAAGCAAAGCATGGCATCGCACAGCGGCCCCGAACAAAACATTGCATAGCATGGCGTTGAAGATCAAAGCGTAGCATGGCATAGCACGACGTGGCACTTAAGCATTGCATATCATAGCTTCAGCTGAAGGCATGGCATCGCGCAGCGGAACGCAACCTAGCATTGCATTGC